TCCTTTTTGGAACAACCGAGAATTATTTGATTATTTGATTGAGGAGCTTATTACGTTACGACATATATTTAGATGATAAAATGATAGATATTCCAGTCGAAATTTATTTTTATACAATTGTATGATAAATCGTCTAATATAAAAGTAGGTTTCCTGATGAGTCTGCGAAATGATGATATGTTTAAAAGTAACTTTAACTATCTTTTCGGACATTTAAATGTGTCATATCAAGCGGGCACTGATCCACGTACCGCATTGCGCCTGGAAATGTGCCAACCTATGGTCGTTGTGCTTTACGTAAGGCAAACATTTTCGGTCTCCCAGGAACCGTGGAAACCGTATAGAATTCTGTTTCCTCAAAGTCAACTATTTTTTTATGTAGGTTTCCATTATGCCAGGAATGTATAACATTTCCTCTTGAATTAGCATGTTTATAGCACGTTTAATGGAGGTAAATGTTTGGTTTTTGAAGAATGGTTTAAAAATGGAACACAGCGTGTAATTATCGGAAGTATTTACTTTTAAAAATCGTGTTTACGATCCCCATTGTATAACATTGAAAATTGGTGCGAAATAAATAAATTCAATTTATACACTTGAATACGAAATTTTAAATAACTTTGGCGAGTGCTAATGATATGACATGACAATACTAATGATATGATATGACACCAATACTCTAGCTGCCAACGAATTAAACGATCCAGAATAATAAATATTATTATCAATTGTTTTCAAGTAATTCAGACAAGTAGTAGACAGTTTTCAAGTTTTCGTAAATTGTATATTGGAAATTATTTAAGGTAACGCAGGAGGTTCCTAGGATAATAAAAATCCGCGAAATGTTAATAAAGCTGCGAATAAAGCTTTTGCCAGAGATGACTCACCTCCAGCGAATTCCCGTGCTGTAGGGTGTTGGAACCATCCTGGCTTGACAGTGCCAGGACGATAAGCGCCAGGACACCGGCGGCAAAAATAGCACGGCGAATTCCTGCCAAGACGCGACGACGTGGGGTCATCTTCTCCCGGAGAACGTGTTTCCGTCTGTACTCATATCGGACTGAAACATATTTAGTTTAGAATTACCATACAATCTGTTCTACATAATAACGTCGAATCGTCGAATTATATACGTAAATAAATTACTGATCGTGAATTTCTCGTTTACGTTACATTACGTTAAATGTATTGTGTGTCGATCGTTTGCGACATCGATGTTTCGAAATTAGGAGCAGGAGAGCTCGAGGTTGAGGTGACGAACGAGCCGTGCAAATGCGAAACGCGTTAGGGTGTTGCGGCTCCAGGTATTATACACGTGCTCCAATGAATTTAACATTCGGTAATTCTGCGATTTATCGCAGTCGCGTCTGACGGCACGTACCGTTGCTCTTCTTAGCTCTTCTCGGACCATTTCAAATAATTTTTACTTCACGATGAGATAAAAACTGATGGAATTAATAGCTCGCGCGCTCTGTTTCGCAGATATCACGTTTGTACGCGTGTTCCGCCTTGACGAGGAAGTGTTGCGCTGATGATGATAATAAATATACCAGATGATGACGAATATACTGCTAACGTCCTCGCGCGACATGTCCTAACGTTCGTAGTTGACACTCGATTCGACAGCTCCATTAATTGCGATCTTCTTTTAGAATTTTCGTGACGTTATTGAGCTTAAGCGCGACACGCTTGTTGTGGTGAACAGATATTCATCACATCTGTCTTTGGTCCAAAAAAAAAAAGAAGAAAAAAAAAGTAGATCAAATTAAAACGTTTTCTGTGCCTTTTCAGGTTTTGAAATATATTGAGTTTGTATACAAAGGCTTCGAGACGTGATATCGTGGGTAAGGTTCAAGAGTATCCGAGTATGACTCGGCAGATGACAGAACAATTAGACCGAGAGCGAAAGGATTAGAGGAGGCATAAGTGCGCCGTGTTTATTCGCGGAATGCTAGAGGCGCGTGAGAAGGAGGCGCGCCGAGGCGGTCCCGAATGGAATGGGTAATCAGTTTCGCATTTCCCGATGCTCGGTATGCGTTTGTCCGTGTATCGAGATCGTGAGTATTAGCGCGCCGAGCAGTCGTGGAGCCGCGGAAATGTGACCGCATCCACGCGATAAGCATTCGCGCGCTGCAGAAATTCTCACGGTCAGTATGTCAGCGGTAACGTTTGGCGTGGATGGCTTCTCTTCTCCTCCTCTCCCCCCTCCCCCTCCCCCTCCCCCCCCCTCGCACTTTGCGCTTTCTCGGTGTTGCAGCTAGTATAATTCTGTCTGTGTTCTGCACTGCAGATATTGTATTCGATTTCAGTCCAGGTTACATGGATCGTTTTACCAAACAATCAAAGGCTACACTACAATGATGATCGAATCGAAATACGAATCGGGTCGATCCTTTGTTGGGAAAGAAGCCTCGGGATTCGTATTTACAAAGAATAACAGTAAGGAAGGATTTTAAGCAATAAGGAAGGAGAGATGTGATATCTTAAGTAATAATAAAACAGCTTCTCAATTGTAATATCCTATTTTGTAACAGTTAGATGGTAATTATAAATGGTGCTTTGTAAAGCAGAATCCTTTGTTGTGGGAGGATAATCGCGGAGAGACGTGTAATTATCGGATAAAGCGAGGCGAGCGGGCTACATAAATCTCGCTTTTCTCGAAACAAGTTTCGTATTGATATATCGTTCGCGTTGTGCCTGACAGGTAAAAAGAGCCGGAAAGAAAAATTGCACAGTTGCGAAAAATTTAGTAGAGCGTATGCGAACTTTTTCGCGAAAGTGTTGCGCAGAAATACGTACGATTAAGTTTCATCGGATCTTACGAAATATGCGTATCTCAGCAATAGTTCATAATATCAACATTTGTCAGCGCTGTAGATACAAAGTGCGGTAGTTTGATGAGCTATAGATATTACTCTTTTATCGAGTTTCATCGAAAAAAAAAAAAAATTATATCACACTCTTATTATGTTAAAGATAACATAACGGAAATAATAATTATTCTGTCTAATTGCTGTCTATAGCTCCTTTTATAACTATTTATTTTGTTATCAAAGACACTTTGTATTGACATTGTGATATCATAACTACCCGGTACTAATTCATTATTCTTTTGCAAACAAAAATGACTTTCTTCCGTTTCGTATCATTCCGATAATCTATTATACCATTCATCTGTAGTCACACAATCTTTACGTAACTCAGTTCTTTTCGATGGATTCAATGCGGTCAGTAAAATGTCCTTATCCTGCTTCGCCTCTCATCATAAAAATTTATTCAAATAAGTCGGACAATTGAGTAGATATTCTTTCTTCTTTTGGTAACGAATAACGAACATTGCGTGCAATTGTAAGATGCACTACGTAGCGATAATAACAACAATAATAATAATAATAACAATGATATGGAGGAGAAATTATGTAAGCCTAATCAAATCGGAATGATGAACTTTTTTGCGTAACGTTAGCGCGCGTGGAAGATACGTGTAAAAATGGAATTTATCTTATTTCGCGGATAAGCCATCTTCATGCGACACAATGCGAAACGGATCCATACCAGCGCCAGGAGTTCAGCATTAGATTACGTAAGCCCAGGCGATTCTGTGCATGCAACTTATGCTTCCCGTGAGATACAGGATGGGAGAAACCGCTCACTCCCACAGCGAATGGAACGATCTTTGATCTCGATTCAGATGGAATCGTTGATTTGTAATTCGCGATTACATTTGCATTGTGTACACGGGGTATTACCGAAGCACGTGATAGCAGCAGATGTTGGCACAGGCATCAGTCCATTATCGTGCATTATCTTAAAATTAAGAAAAGATATGATAGTAGATTTGAGAGACAGACAATTCTGAAATGGACGGAATTACGGATGTTTTTAACAAGAATTCGTTAACGATCGATGAGTGTCGAGAAAATCTTAGAATTAACTCATTTCGTTAAAGTTGGGACAGCGATGGGTAATATTATTAAAATTTAACAAAGCTAAATGCTAATAATTACAATACACATTGCTTGTAATATCATTACAATACACATATTTGTAATATCAGATTGAAACAATATTTGCGCACAAAGAACGAGCTTTTGCATCCCGATCGATGAACTAGCAAAATATCGTCAGATTGTGTTAATCACGGATGTTACATTAATAATTAGTAATACATAGAACAAAGGAAATACGAACTTATTTTACAGAAGTATCATGGGAATGGATACTACTTCTGTAATTATTCTTTTTCAAGGCTCGGTTTATTAGAGTCTTGGAATCATAATCGTCGACAAGTTGCGAGAGAGAGAGAGATCTCATTAAAGGGATCAAATGACGGATAAGATTTCGCTCTTTCTAATGTTTAATAATTCTTATTGTAATTTGAGTGGGCCGGGTTATGTTAATTAACATTATTGACGTTTCTATGTTTGTACTATGAGTGGATCAGTTTTATAGAAAAAGAGATAGCGCGAATATCTAATCTCTAGTTTGCTAAGCTAAGTATATTGTCAATGTAATTTGATACTCCCTCCTAGGAAACTCCGTTCCTTTCTGAAAGTCGAAAGAAAATGTGTAAGCTAAATTATCACAGTTAATTGCTTAAAGTTGTTAACTCTAAAATGCAATTCACTGATATTGACAAATTCAAATTGTAATTTAACTTCTTCTTCTTTCTTTTTTTTTTTTTGTTAATTTATTAGTTCACAGCGCTGACAATGATGTATGACAGAGAGAAAACTTCGTTAATCACGGCTGATATTAATGACACGAGTTCAGTTCAATTAATCTGCAGTTTTTAAAATCCGTATTATGAAACGATTTTTCGCTGCGAGCTAACATTATATCGTTCGCCGTACACGCGATTCAACGTTGGCGTATCTTTGCCGCATCCTTGCTTTCGTGAAAAAGCAGCGATTATCCGGATGACGTTGGCCGTTCGGTTTCACGATCACGCGGAAAGGCGATTGTGCAGCTGTGCGAGTGTCACGGGTTCACGGGGTCAGCGGGTGGCCTTTTTTAATCCCCGGGGACTTGTGTGCGGGGGGCCGCGTTTACCCACGGGGAGAGAAAGAGAGAGAGAGAGAGAGAGAGAGAGAGAGAGAGAAGAAAGAGAGAGAGAGAGAGAGATAGACTTGTCTCCGGGTCATGTATTCCCGTGTATACCTTCTCCGGGCATATATCCGAGGCGGCGAGATCACTGATGCATTTGTTGTCGCTCTCGAGCGTCGTCGGCCGGCGTCGTTTCTCCCCCGGGTCGGTGCTGCGCGTCGGGTGCAAGGGACGTCGGACGTGGTCTCGCGCCGCAGGAGGCAGGAGCGCGGACGCGGTGTGTGGTGCCACGTGATGCGTGCCGCGTGTCGCCAGGAAAAGTACGATGCCGTACGATCACGGCGGCATCGTACAGATCACTGAGACCGACCGACTGGCTCGTTCCATGGGCGCCCCGACGCTCGCGTCTTCGACGCTACCGCCCGACCCCGTTCCACCAGGGCCGGTTTCGCGGGGTGCTCTCGCGATAGGCGCGACCATTTCCTCATTGATAATCAGAGAGAGAGAGAGAGAGAGAGAGCTACGCGAAGCACATGCTGTAAAAATTGTTTTAACTGAATGGTTTGTGGGCGATCTTTTTACTAACTCGAGAAAATCAATTTAAATGTATCTCTGACTGAAAATGATAAGATGAAAACGAGATTGCTCTTTTTTAAATCGAAAATTAATATCTTTAAATTCTTAGTATATGTAATGAAAATGAATACCATGTACAGAAAAGAGATATTAATAGCGTTTATTGGGTATAAATTAATATGTTACATTACGTGTGCGTATTTTCTGGTATCCCATGGTGTGAATGGAAAAGCAGTTAAAATTCTAGAATTATAAAAATGATTAAAAATGACATAACATAAAAATGCATACGATGATGACTACTAAATGAATATGAAAATAGTAAATTTGGATTTCATGTTGGGGTCTAAATACTGAAAGCCAGACCTGTGTCTTTACTTCTTTCTGTCTATTGGTCGGTTTTTTCGCGGGTCGATTTGCCGCTGGACGTTTCTCGCGCAAACGCGCCGCGACTTGCCAGCCGCCTTCTCGGTTGAAGATCGATCAATTGAAATTGAAACTTGATTACTAATGATAACTCGTAATTCGCGACATATCGATCGTGCTACATAATTGCGAACTGCCGACGCTGTTCCAAAATGCAGTTCGATATTGCAACATGCGTTTTAAAAAAAACATAAAGTATCGCGCCGCAATTACACGAATGCAATTAACATTTCTTCTTTAAACATCAAATTAATTAAAATATTTAATCGTATAGTTAGTAAATATACTGTAAACTATTTCGTATCATGAATTTTTATGTCATATTTTTGTAATTACAATTTTATTTTTGACATTTCTTATTCTTATTTGCATAGCAATTTATAATTTAAAAGGTTAGAATAAATTGTAAGAAGTAAATACTGATTAATTAGAAGTAAACGAATTTTTTGTTATTAATGTCTAATCTTCTGTTTTTATATCCATTAATCGAGAAAATCTGCTGTTATTATTTTGAGCCGACATCTTCATCTCGCTTTTAGATTATAGTAGGACCAGGAATTTCTTCACCACTGACTTCTGCTGATTTTTCACTTGAAGAAATTTTTAGCGATTCTTACAACAGCAGTGATGAGGTGAAAATAGCTATACCAGATTGCGTCAAGACGCTGGCGCGGCAGACTCTTCGAGCAAACTTCTGCTGCGAAACAACGTTTCAATTTAGAGAGTGACATGCTGGAAAGTAGATTAGAGTATATATAAGATTGTGTCAAACAATAATGTAATTGGAAAAGTTTCTTTTATATTTTACGTTTATCTTCACGTTTATAAGTCACAATCATGGTGTTCATTTTTCAGACGTATCTGATTTGCAGGAAATCTCAAAGTAGTTATTTTTTAATTTAGTGGTTTAACTCGTTCGAAATATGTTTAAAACGGAAAGGAATATATGAATATATAAGAAGAGAAAGGATCGTATATAAATATATCGCAATATAGATATAAATTCTGAGGAAAGAGAAAAGGAAAGAAAAGTAGGATTTTATATTTTATTATTATATTAGTGTTATCTATAAACGGCAATTTGCATTGCATAACAAAATTCCATCCGCCGTTGATACCGCGTTATTATAGTTTTGCAGGAACATCGCGATTAGTATCTTTGTTCGCGGCTCGATTTGCATGGATAATGTCGATGTAAATGTTGCACTCAAGGTCGATTCGCGTGTGCATATCCGCCGACTTGGCAGCTACGTTATCTGTGACCTGATTTTTCATTCTTTTGGGGAAAAACGTGTTTATGTATCTTATTTAATATAATAATAATAAAAAATAATAATAATAAAATATTTACGGAACATTTTTGATGATTAATCAGGAAACATCGAAATTAAACTGATCCATGTGCAGGGAACGCCAGTTCGGCCCAGACGAAGAATTAAGATTGAGTTCAATTATCTGAAATGGCGAAAGTTGAGATGGTTTATTTTCTCCCTAAGTGGTGGTGCAGGCCAATGATAGCCTGTCTTCGATTATTCTCGCATCGATATCCCAATCTGTGCGGATAATGAATCTGTCAGTTTGAATACGACGCATTTCTTCTTCATCCGTTTTTCCAACAGCATTGCCATTAGATTGATATTCAAATATGATCGATTAAAATGCGAGTTGCTTGCCGCTTCGATTGGCTCGCTGTCGATCTATATTCATGAAACGGATACATCACGTGTGTTACGTAATATCAGAAGTTTTCATGCAATATTGGATACATATATTTATTAGATATACGTGTTACTATCATTAAATAAAAGTCTACGTCAGTACATCCATTATCGACGAGTAATTAATTGTAATTAATTAGGTTTTACCCTCTTTATCTTCACTAACTTAATTTTGGGATTTTTTTCTAACACAACTTTCATATCTCTAACATCAATATTAATTTTCTCTCTGAAAAGCACGAGATATCTTTTTCTCAGAATTCTCTCAGCAAGTCATGATATGACATCACGATGCAGACAGCTTTTATTTTATTGTAAATACAGAACTTAATTACATGCGAGATAAAAATTTCCGAGAATTGAAATAAAATTTTCTATAATAATAAACTTTTTTATTATTACCGTGTATATTTTATACATTGTATAGTCTTTAAGTGATGATTAAAGAATCACGACAAGACAATTATCAATAATAAATTTTTAACAGGTTCAACTTTCTAATTGTTATATATTTTTTATTAATGTTAAAAATTTCACGGGAATAATGAATATTTATGTTACGATATATTACAAAGTTTACATTTTTAAAAATTAATTAAAAACTGTGTGTGTGTAAAAGAGAAGAACTCTTAGATGCGATTGTCAATAGTACGTAGCTATGTAAAGTTTCTTTACAGCACGTTGCTCGACCCTAGATGTTATCCGTACGTATTGTCCACGCTGGACGAGGAGATTTCTGGCGAATCAACATTTTGGAAATTGGAAGAGGAATGTTCTTTCCATTCAGAAAGGATCAGTTCGATCCAACCCGGCGCCGCCGTGGCAACAATGGTGCTCGATCTACCAACATTTGACCAGAAGTCCGTCGTCGAATGTTGGGGTATAATCTCATACAAGATTGATGAGACGCAGTACCAAATTCCAGTGACGCCTATTCGACTCAGCATCGCCGAAACGATCAATAGTTCGTGCATGAAGTTCTTAAATGAGAACGAGCATGGTGCGATATTGGCCTTGAAAGGGACATCTATCGTGGAAAAGATCGTAAATGTTCAATTTTCGAGGAACGAGCAAGATAATCGAGATGAAAATCGGACCAGCAATAAAAAACTCTTTCATTTTTTAACCACGAGGACCTTCGCAAAGATTTATGGCAATGTTTTTTTGATAAAAGAACACGGTTCCCTGATGTACTGTTTGATCGAGGTACTATTGATCGACGTCAACGAAGCGAATATCAGGATCTTTGCCAGGTAATGAATCGTTGACGAGTAAAAGTATATACTCTTTAGATTGCAATTTCTGATAAAACGCGTAGTAATGATAGAGGATAGATTTACATTATCAACGATACGATTACAGATCTGTCAATCAATTGAACATAATATTACATCTTCTGCAAGATGAATTTTCGAATGTAACTGTTGTGGAGGAAACGAACGAGTGCATTGAAGCTGCGATGGCTCTAATACACGAATTAGAGATGATTCGTGACAAGAAAAGCATTCGCGAGATACAAGAAGCCAAAGTGATAACCGACTTGCTTATTCCTTAAGTTCCATTTACTATTTAAATCTTTAAATACTAATATTTAGATAATGTGAGATATTTTTATATCAATATACAACATGTTGACATAACGATAAGTCGTAAAAAAATGATAATTAATGCAGCGATACATAATGCAAAATACAAAAACAGTATTGGATATATAAATAAAGTAGTTTTATATTATTTTATGTTATGTCTAAAAAATTTTTTATCTACCGTTTTTGTGATATTGATAATGTAATTATTCAATTAAAATATGTATTATTAAGAAAAATATGTAATTTTAATTTTGGCATTTTATATGGCAAATCCGTTAAAAACAACGTGAATTTACGTCAGAAAGACGTAAATCGAATTACGTCTATCGAATATTTATATATATAAAAATTCAAGGATTGATTAGTATCTTGACGGAAAACATTTACATCCTATATTGTCTTGTGATAATCACAAGTGCATTATCTCTCTTTAAATATTTATGGATATATATATA